GGGGGGCCGGAAGTGCTTAGTCCCGGGCCCGGGGGCGGCCGAGGCGGGGCAGGGCCGGCGGCGCTGTCACTTCAGCACCAGGAAGTAGGTGGTCCAGCCCGCCAGCAGCAGCGCCCCGATGAGCACCGTGTAGCTCAGGAGCACGAAGGCCAGCAGCTCCCGCAGCAGCTGCAGCACGTGGATGGTGGACGAGGCCGGCATCGCCCTGATGTGGAGAACCGGAGAGACTTGAGCACGCGGATGGCGCGTCCGCCCGAGCCTGGCACTGCCCCGGGCAGGGTGGATACAGCCGGGAACAGACCAGGTCCCGGACCTCGAAGTAGTAAACACGCTCTTGTAGGCTAAGGAAGTCCAAGTGCTGGTTTTCTCTGGAACACCTCCGGACGCTCTCTTTACATGCACACTAGAGACCCCCTCGAAACCCAAAGTTGCCCTCATTCTCTGGCTCCAGAACTGGGCTCCAAGGCAGGAGCAGACCCTTCCAGTCCCGGCTGCTGCATTAGCCTTCCTACCACCTCCTGCATTTTTAATGCCTTGCGGGCTGCTAATGGGTTGCTGGAGAAAAGCTAGCTCTTCCCATCACTTAAGCTGGAGGCCAAGCTGGAGGCCCAGCTGCCGGCCCTGCCTGGGAGGGAAAGCAGATAAGCCCTGATGGGAAGGGGAAAGCTCAGGCCCTCTCCATCCCTCTCCACAGTCCCTCTGGCTCCCCTGACCCCAAGGCCTGCTAGCAGCTGCAGAAAAGCCAAGTGGTGGCCCTTCCCACCCTGCTCTAGTGCATCTGTCCCAGCCCTGCTAAGTTCCACCACAGACAGACGGTAAGAATCAGATCTTCTATCCCGGATACTCCCCTGCCCAGCAACTCCCCTCAGTACCAGCTGCTAGCTTCCATCCCTCCCCATTTCACTCACTTAGCAAAGCGTCCGCGAATCCTCCACGGCCACAGCCCCGCAGCTCCTCTCCGGTCCGGTGCAGGAAGGTAGGATGCGCACTCCAGCGATCTGGGCAGAGTCAAGACTTCCAGGCAGCAGCCAGCTCTCAATTAGGTGTGGTCGATTTACAGACCAATTACAACCTCCACGTGGTCTCTGTGCTCTCGGGAGCTGTGCACAGGCGATCCCAGGCCAGCAGGGGCCTGGCAACCCTGCCCACCTCCGCCTGTGTCACGGCGGCCCACCGGGCTCCGCGCTTGTTTTCAGAACAAGCCCGACTTCACGGGCTGAGCAGAGGTACACCAGGAGGTATTTCAAGCCCTTTCTTGTCCTGCTTTTCTAAAGCCGTAGGTGGGCTGTTATCACCAGAAGTTCCTTTTCTAAGCAACTCACACTGGAAGTAGCCCCATCTATTCCGAGTCTCAGGACCAGAAGAACCACTGTCCAAACAACACTCACTCGTGACTGCCCAACTACTGCAACAGCTGTCGTCTTAAACACACGCGAGTGCAAGCGTGTGCGCGAGAGGCAAGTGCGGGCGACCTGCAGCTCCCAAGCGTTTGGGGCTAATTTACAGAATTCAGCGGTTTCCACTCCCCAGTGTACCCCATTTCTAATTTCAGCTCCATCGTGAGGCAGAGGAGCCGGTGGGGACCTCAGCAAACAAAGACAAGACGCTCTCCGGCATGGAACCAGGAAACACCCACCAACTTTATACTGCTTCTGATTATTTTGCTTGTTATACAACAGTTTTAAGTTAAAGACTATTTTTTTGACCTTTGAAAAAGCAGGCAGTGTAGACATCAACTCTTCCGTCAACATCATCCAGAAGCAAATGGCTCTTTAATTTAATCAGGATCTCTCATTATCAAATCATTGCCTCCACTGCAGCCCGGCTGGAAACAGGGCCAGGGCATTATCAGCCCGCGCAGGAAGCCAGTGGGCATAATTACTCCCCCAGAGAACCGGCCATCCGAAGGGCTTCCGTGACCTGCCAGGCCACAGGCGGCTCTGGCTGAGGATTTTAGCCTCACCCCACACCAAAGAGTTAAAAACAGGCTATTAAGAATACATGTGGGTGGGGCCAGCAGGTAGCCTAGTGGTTAAGGGCACTGGGCTCCCACGTGGCTGGCCAGTCTGAGTCCCGGACGTGGTGGCTTGCTTTCTCAGTTTCC